GGCCGGCGGTGCGCTGCGTGTACGCCCCGCTGCTGAGAGCGAGTGGCTCACATGCGGTGCGGGCAGCCGTGTGTCTGCATGTGGGAAGTACGCAGACCTCTGCAGCCAGCAGCGTACAGCAAGAGCAGCAACAACAACAACAATTATTGGTACTACTACTGTTAATGCTAATGATGGACAGCCAAAGGCGGTGATGGCTAATGCTGTGGAATGGAGTGATTTGTTTATAACAGCAAGCCGAGATCATCAGTGTCGGGTGAAGAATGATACTAAAATTCATAATTTAAATTGTTCGGCGTATAAGAAAGCTCGTATAATTGATGGAGTTTCGGATCCTACTCCCGATTTGACACCGGCGCAGGCTGCTGAAAAGAAACCGGGTGCTCCTCAACCACTTGGGGAAGAAGTGCGTTTGGTAGAAGAGGCAGTACGTGCACAAGATCGTTCTTTAACTGAGGTCCCATCACTTACTACGTCTACAGTGACCCATTCAGATCCTGTAATCATCAAGAACAATCCTTTAATAGCATCTCCCATTGCAGCTTCAGATGAGCCAGGTAATGGAGAAACAGGAACAGGTGCGACACCAACGCCACGTCAAACTCATGGGTCTACTACAGCACCACAAAGTGACAACGAAGCGCCGAATAAGGGTAACAGTGCGCCTGCCGTGCCAGACTCACGAGGAACCAGTTCCACTACTCCGCCGAGAACAGAAAATCAAATAACAGAACAAAATACTCCCACAGAGAGTAATAGTTCACCTGGCAGCTCAAATCCTACACAGCAACCATCTCCTGCAGGTACGACTTCCAAATCAGGCTCAGAAGAAACCACTTCCACTACTCCGCCGCTCCCGAAGAACACTGTCAGTGAAGCACCATCCATCACTCCTTCTCCTGTTTCCATAAGCGACTCAGAGTTCAGCAGCAGCAGCGCTCCCACTGTACATAACAAAGCTAATGTTGACAGCAGTATCAGTCCTGTGTGGATGCGCACTGCAGCACCGCTGCTGATTGTGGCTGTGTTGGTCTCCGTTACTGTGTACTGAACGGTGGGACTCATCTGAGGAGAAATAATAATAATGATTAAACTAACATAATCATAATTGCGTACATCCCCCATGGGTGAATAAATTAATAATCTGTTTACCAGCATTCTCTTTTAATTGGAATATCTTTTCTTTTACCTTTGTGTTCTTTTTCTAATAATTCCATTACTTGCTTTTCCCGTTATGTGTGCAGAAAACTGGGCTGTTCTGCTCACTGACGGTATACATCTCTTGCTAGTACATGCATGGGTGTGTGTGTGCAGTAATTTAATAGATAAACTAGAGCCGTGGGGTATTGTGTGTGTTTGGCTCTCTATCTTATTTGGGTATTGTGGGGTGTTCTCCTTTTTCTATTAATAGGTACATATTATCATACAAGCGGGATATTTCTTTTTTGCTCGCTATTTGTGCAGTTGATCCTTCTCTTAATCTGACTATTTGTTGTACTGTTGTGTGTTTGTTTGTTTCTGTTTTTCACTCCCTTCTTTATTGTGCATTCCATTGAAGTAAGACAGGTGCAACGATATCCACAATTCCTGCAACCATTGGAATAATAATAATAATGATGCGCTACGTTCTGTGTATCCTCGCTCTCCTGCTCTCATGTGTGTGTGTGTACGTCCTCGCTGAAGAAGTGCCTGCCGCCGATCTTTCCGACCAAGTCCCTGATACGGAGAGTGAGACGAAGATTGTTCATGGTTCTGGTGATGGCGGTGATAGAGGACCTCAGGAAAAAAGAGAATGTGAAACAGGTGGTGAAGTAGGTGAGAAGAATACTTGCGAAGCAAAAACCATGGAAACGGAAGTATCACGTACCTCTGCTGCGGCTGAAGCAAAAAAAGGAGTTCCTGGGGAACCTGGGGCATCGTCACAAGATGCACATCAAGTATCGCCACAGCATGGAGGTGGTGGACAAGCTCCACAAGGTCCCAGAGGTGAATCTGGAGGTCCTCCTTCTGCTCCTACTTCTCCTGCTTCTGCTCCTGCAGCTTCTCCACCGGGTAAGGATGGTAATAGTGTTGACTCTGGAAGTGAAGGTCAACCGGAAAGTAACGCCATCCGTACAACAGGCGGAGCCGAAGCAACAACCTCAGCAGGTGACGCACAAGAGGCTTCTTCTTCTTCTACCAATGCAAACGCAGGCAGTGCCAGTGGTTCTGACACTTCAACCGAGAATGGAAGCATATCTGAGGAAAGTGAATCAACAAGTAACCAAGAAGGTGATGTGGGAATTGCAGACACCACTACCACCACCACAACAACAACACTTCCTCCTGAATCCACAAACAACAAGAAGGGTGATGCAGACAGCAGCAGCAGTATCAGCAGTTCTGTGTGGGTGCGTGTACCACTACTGATTGTGGTTACACTGGCCTGTATTCTTGTGTGCTGATTGTCCTGATTGTGGTGGTGTGACTCAGGTCATCCTTTGTTTTCTTTTTCTTTTTTTTTTGCATGCATCCCTACAGTCTAACTAATCTTCCACATGTTAAGATTTTCTTTTTTTGTTTCTTAATGTTTTATGTGTTTTGTGTGTTTTTGCTCTCTTTGTGTTTATCCTATTATAATTATTGCTACTACTCCATTGTGTGTGTGTGTGTTCTTGGAGTCTCTCTCTGTGTGTGTGCACCTGGGCTTGCACTGTAATGATGAACTGCTTTTTGAAGTGGGAAAAAGAAATAAGAATGATAACAGATGAATTTATATTTATAATTGCGTATATATACATATGGACTTATACCCATAGTTGGTGTATCTGTATGTGTTTACTTGGTAAATTGGGCTAATGGTTAATATCTGTTTGTTTGCTTGTGGTTGGCTGGTGCTTTTGTGTGTTTGCTCCTTTATTGTTATTGTAGTCTGCTTAGTGTAGAACGAAAGCATAATAACATTCGTAAACACATATATTTATTATTACAAATGATTTTCAAGCATAACCATAGTTCTCTGAATTCTTTGTTTGATGATGCCGTTAGTTTTCTTTTTCTCTGGATTTCTGAGACATTTGGTGTGATGTTTCTATTTATTGGACTCTATATTGTTTATTTTGGTGTTAATGTTTTGTGTGACTGATGCTTTTTGTTGTCTTTGCTTCCTTCGTGTCTCTTTGTTTTATTGTTTTTTTTTATTCTTTCTTCAGGTTCAGAGGTCGACAGCAGGCAGAATAACTCTTATTGCGATGCTACTGCGCTTTTTGTTGTGTGCTTTGATTTTGTTTCTGAGTGTACCCTCTCTGTGTGAGACGGCTGAGGTTTCTCCTCTTGAGCGGTCTTCTCGTGAATGTCCTACCACTACTGCTGATGGTGGTGCTTGTCCTGCCACTTCCCGTGTTGATTCTCCTCAGCAAGAACAATGTCGTCCCACCGAAGATGTCTCTAAATGCAGTGAACCTACCAAAGATTTAAAAGAGAAGCTTCAGCCTTCTGATAAACTTGATACAGGGAGGGACGCATTGAACGAAGAAGATCGGAATCAAGGGCTAGGGGAAAAAAACAGAGAACTTGAACTGACTGAAGAAACAGTTACAAGTGAACTCAATGGCCACCAACCTGCAGAAATCAAAGGAAATGCTACACCACCACCGGGTAATGGTAGTTCTGGTGACAGTACCATTCAAGGAACTGAATTGCCGGCCCAGTCGCAACAGAACACTATGGAAGTGCAACCGCCTACAACTACAGGAGAAGATGAACCTAAAAGTAATGATACTACACCCAATACAGAATCCGTTGCCCAAACAACTGCACAATCACAAGAAGATAATGGAACACAATCATCTGTTGCCGATACCGCTGGGACTCCTGCATCACCTTCACCAGAAGGAAATGCAAATACTGCGGATGACACTACAACACAAAATGAAGGATCAACCACCGCAACAACAACACTTCCTCCTGAGCCTGCAATCAGCAAGAAGGGTGATGCAGACAGCAGCAGCAGTATCATCAGCAGTTCTGTGTGGGTGCGTGTACCACTACTGATTGTGGTTACACTGGCCTGTATTCTTGTGTGCTGATTGTAATCGTGGTGGTGGTGTGTGACTCAGGTCATCCTTTGTTTTCTTTTTCTTTTTTTTTGCATGCATCCCTACAGTCTAACTAATCTTCCACCTGTTGGGATTATCTTTTCTTTTTTTGTTTTCTTAATGTTAATGTGTGTTTTGTGTGTGTTTTTGCTCTCTGTGTTTATCCTAAAATTATTATTATTGCTACTCCATTGTGTGTGTGTGTGTTCTTGGAGTCTCTCTCTCTGTGTGTGCACCTGGGCTTGCACTGTTATGATAATGATGATAAACTGTTTTTAGAGCGGGAAAAGAAATAATGGTTTCAGATGAATATTTACTTTTATAATTGCGTATATACACACATATAGACTTACACCCATAGTTGGTGTATATTTCTGTGTTTACTGTGTAAATTGGGCTAATGGTTAATATCTGTTTGCTTTGTTTGCTTCTGTGGTTTGCTGGGCATTGAGCCTTTTTTGAGATATTTGTGAGTGTGATTTTTGTTATTTCTAACTCTTAATGAGGTAATTGTGCTGTATTTCATTCTTTAACTTGCCGGTGTTTAGTTTTGCGGTGTGAGTATCATCGTGGTTTTCGATTTATGGTTACTAATTAGTTGATGTTTTATTTATTTTCTGCTTCTTTTTGGTTGCTTTCTATTGCTAAACCCACACAGATTTGGTAATCCTCAGTGATATTAATAACAACAATGTCCATGTTGCCGTGCCGTGTTTTGTGCCTTTTGGCCATTGTACTCTGTTGTGTGGGTGTGGTAACTGAAGCTGCTGATTATTCGCAAAGCCCCGCTGGCATGTATGTGAAAGCACTTCGCATTCCACAAGAAGCATTGAAACTGAAAGAGGAGTGCGAGAAAGCCGGCAAGGATGCTGAAAAGGCCGCCGACAGTGCCTACAATTTTGTTGCCACTCTTCTGGCAAATATCGAGGCGGTCGCTGCGGACCCAGCAAGGGTGAAGAAGGAGAGGCGGAAAGGACATGAACTCATCACAAAAGCAGAGCAAGCCTCAGCAAAAGCAAGAAAAGAGGGAGACAAAACTACAGACAGTGCAACTGGGACTAAATCCATGGATACCTCGTCTCTTGAGCAAGCAAAAAAATATTACGAAAATGGGAAGAACAAACTTACTGAAACTGTTAACTCTTTCAATAAGGCCATCAAGGCGGTTAAAGATGCAGAACACGCGGCACGTTATGCTAAAAAACATGCCGACCGTGCGGAAGAGGCTGCCGAACGTGTGAAGGATGTCCTGAAGAAACTCGACGCTGCAGTTGCCGAAGCTGAAAAGAAGAAAAAGGAAGAAAAGGTGAAAAAGGAGAAGCAGGTGGAGTCTCAGCCACAGGAGCAGAAAAAGGATACATCTCTTGGTGGGCAGCAAGGGCATACAGAAGGAAATAAGTCGGAGCAAACACAAACACACACACAGGTGCCAGCGGTTAAGGAGGCGCCATTGGAAAGGAATGAAGGCAGTGTTGCAGTGGGTGCAGACGATACCAGGGATTTACTTAACACAGGGGTAGGAAATGGAGACCACTTGGTGGGGAAACACCATATCGACACGGAAGAAAGTAACACTTCTGAGGATCATCATGACGAGGAAGGATATTTACGACAGACAGTGGGAGAAGTGAAGAGTGGACATATTACGACAAATAAAGAAAACCAACTCATCCCACCTCAAAGAAAACAAACACAGGAAGAGGGTGTTCAGAACACTCATACCTCCGTTAAGATGGAGGAACTGAAAGAACTACATACTGTGCCTCACCATGCACAGGAGAAAAAAGAAGAAGAGCATAACAGTACGTATCAACGACCACATGGAAGAAGTGGGGCAAGAGAGATGACTGAAGATTTGCACACACCACAGACACCAACACAAGAAGGAAACTTATCAGAGAACCAGACTCACAGTGGCAAGGTATCGCGACAAACTCACTCTCTTTCATACCCTCCTTCTTCTGATGCTCCTAATATTCGTGAAATGGCTGCCAATGCTCTACTCAAGAGCGATGCACTCGCGAAGGCAGTCCAACAACTGGACGGCAGCAGCAGTCCTGCGTTACTGCGTGTTCCACTCCTGCTGCTGCTCTCTGTGCTGGGCTGCATGGCCGTGTGCTGAGCACTATGGTGGGATCCATCCAGAGAATGTTGGTAATCACTTGTTTACTGCTGATAATAATAATAATAATAATAATAATAATAATAATAATAATAATATAATTGCTACTGTGTTTTGTACACTGAGCATTGAGAAAATTAATTCCGATGACCCCCACTGGGCTAGGGTGCATCAATTTGTGTGGAAATAATTAATCTCTTTTAATTTTTATACTTGCAAGCAGAGCATTGCTGTGCACCTTGTGGTGTGTGTCTCACTCTGCAATTGTGTGGTTCTGGTAAATGATATGTCTTTTTTTATTTATTTGCTTTCACATTGTTTCTGAGCGGGTTAACATATAATATGCTTTGTTCGTATGGGAATACTAACTATAATGGGGACAGGGAGAAACTAACACACAGAGAGATTTATGCATTATCCATTATTATTGTTTTTGTGTGGCTATCTCTGCAATGTTACCAAATAATATTCAATTCGCATATAATCTTTTCATTTTTATGGGATTGTAGTGGTTCTTCATTTTGTTCGAATAATGGGTATTTTCCCTAAAATGTATCTTCCTGCGTTATATTCATGGTTGACTCCATATGTGTGTCTCTGTGTGGAATATTAGCGGTGTAATGATGCTTCTGTTTTCTCTTCCTTCTTCTTTCTCTTTTCCACACTCCCTGTGTAGACCTGTGAACTCACGTGACGAAAACAACACGAACAACAAAAAAAAGTGGACGATGACCCTCATGATGATGGGCCGTGTGATGTGTGTGTTGGCCGTTGTGCTGTGCTGCGCCTGCGGGTATACCATGGCTGCTGCTGCTGCTGTTGATAATGACAGTCCCAGTGGCCGTGGTGTATCCCGTGGGGCTGTGGAGGTGTCGTGCGGGGCCGGCGGTGCGCTGCGTGTACGCCCCGCTGCTGAGAGCGAGTGGCTAACATGCGGTGCGGGCAGCCGTGTGTCTGCATGTGAAAAGTACGCAGACCTCTGCAGCCAGCGTACCGCAAGAGCAAGAGGAGCAAGAACAACAACCATTGCTACTACTACTAATACTAATGGACAGCCAAAGGCGGTGATGGCGCATTGGAGTAGTTGGGGTTATGGTGGTCTTACAGCGGATGAGATTGAGAAGCTTAACAAGACGTATGAAAAAGAGTTGGAGGAGCGGGAAAAGAAGAAAATACAACAGCAGCAGGTGGCAGAACAACAGGTACAGAATCAACAAGAGACAAGTGAACCGCAGAATGTCGTAGTGGAGACGGAACAAGCTGTTCAAGACGCTCATGTCTTGGGTTCCACATCCGAGCCTACTAGTGGCCAACAAAAGTTATCTCCTGGTGCACCTAAAGAACCTTTACCTCAAGATATTGCAGAACCACGCAGTGCAGAAGAAGTTACCCCCCACACACAAACACCTGTTAATCCAACTACAGGGGAACATCCAACTGTAGAGGTTGATAACAATAATCAAAACGCACAAATACAGTCTGATAATACCAAAGAAAATAGTGATGTGAAAGAAGGTATTCCTGCCAATCGTTCACCTTCAGAGGTGAGTTCGACAGCAGACACACAAGGAACTGTTACCTCAACTCCGGTCACTGCTAACACTGACGCAGAAACTCCCAACACACCTGCCACCACTCCGCCCACCACCGAGAATACTGTCGAAGCACCAACCACCACTCCATCTCCTGCAGTTGTAATCGACCCAAAGATCAGTAATATCGCTTCCACTGTTCAGAAGAAGGCCAATGTTGACAGCACTGTCAGTCCTGTGTGGATGCGCACTGCAGCACCGCTGCTGAGTGTGGCTGTGTTGTTCTTCTTTACTGTGTACTGAACGGTGGGATTCATCTGAGAGCAAATAATAATAATGGTAATACTAACATAATCATAATTGCGTATATCCACCATGGGTGAATAAATTAATAATCTGTTTACCAGCTTTCTCTTTTAATTGGAATATCTTTTCTTTTACCTTTATGTGTGTGTGTGTGTTCTTTTTCTAATAATTCCATTA